AAAGAAGATGTGGGCAACGACTGCACTGGAATCGGACTGTTGGAAAGCCAGCTTGCCCTGAGGTTGAAGAGCCATCAGATTCGGCCTTCCTAGGTGGCGCTGGACTTCTTTTGCCCGATGCATTGCCTTGCTGACAGTTGCTTGACATTTCGATTGCCTTGGTTGAAGAGCTGCAAGAGCCTTTGCACAAAGTAGTGGCTCGGACCGAGAAAGGACAAGAAGGTTTGCAAGGATCAGACCTGTTTTTTTGCAGCATTTCTTTTTTGACACTAGTTGATAGATGGCGTCAGGCCCTGCAGGGGAACAACTCTGCCCGAAAGGATTCGTAGAACTCGGCAACCTACACTGCTGCTCCGCTGGTTGCACCTGTTTCGGCTCAGCGCTTCCTCCCAACAGCTGAAGATGACGCTTCCCGTTTATTCACGGCAGGTGGAACACGTGATGAACACTCACAGGGAACACGGCAGGTGTGGCGCGATCAACTGATTCCTTGCAATCAACGTCCCATTTTTCTGTCTTTTTCCGATGACGCCTACGTCGTTGAAAGGGGTGGGCTGTGCTCGTTCAGAGCCTTATTTGTTATATTTTTTGCGGGAAAGGCGGGAGAGTTTGACTGAAACATTTCGTGTCGTGTGATCATTGCTTCACGCGCAAAGCCGCGTGCCAAATGAAGAAGAAGCTCATTGGACTTGTGCCTAAAATTGCTCCATGCATTCTTGTAGCCGCAAAGTAGTTCTAGATGGATCCAGTTCTGCGCTTGGCAAGAGGCTTCATAATTGGAGGCCGCTTGCTTTCACCTCGGACTCAACAGCTGAACCCCGCTGTGCATGGATGGAGGTCCTGGGATTTGTATCGACTGGTGCCAAGTGTAACGTTGCAGGTCCTCAAAAGATCGACTGACGCCGCTCTGCTTGCGGCTGGATGCGCATGCCAGAGGTGTCAGATGCCCCAACGGGCAGCAGCAGTGAGTTTGTCATTTTCAGGGGCAGCCTGTCATGTTGCTCTCCAAGAGTAGCAGGAAAAAACCGCCTGAAAAACATGGAAGGCCATCAGAGCTGGGTCGTGAATGAAGGTTCTCAGGCATTTTTTGTTTGGGACATTTCTTTGTGCTGAGATGATCGGCGCAAGGACCGCAAGGAGAAAGGGGCGAAAGTGAGTTCGAGTTCGGCTTGAGTGATAAGACCTCAGTCGTCCTCCCCCTCAGTGCGAAAGAGCCGCTAGCTCTACTGTCCAAGAGAATCAGAAAAGGAGACATAGCAAAGCACTGTGCGACCGTTGTTTTGGGGCCCGATTTTTTGGGATGGACGGCGTTTGTTTTGGGTGTCGGAACTGCGTTGCTCCAACTGCCAGAAGTGAGTCTTCATCCCCCCTGTTCTGAGCAGGGGCCACTGTCGTTGAGGGAGCCCCCAGACAACGCTGTAGAGCCCACGACACCCACGACGCTGAAGACGGTCTTGCTTCCAACTTCCAGCTATCTCTCAACTTCCAACGTCCGACATTTTTACTTTGTCCACTGGTCAGTGTACCAACCCCTTCTTTTCTGTACCAACCATCGTGCTTTCCCAGTGCTCCTTTTCTGATCGCAAGTTCGGGTCTGTCGGGAGAGTCAAGTCATGTCTCCTCCCCAAGATTGAGATGATGATAGATATATATCAAACAAGAGAGTGCGAATTATTGCAGCTGTGTTTGCTTTAGATGCGAAATCATCCGATGTTGGCTGTTCATATGTCATTCTTTGGCTTGTGTGTGTGTGTGCATCATTGTGTACTGCATGTTTGGCTGTTTCAGCGTACAAATATCTTTCCAGCATGTAGTGAAGATTCTTTTCAAAACATTTGTTCAATACAACCGAAACACAGCTCAAAATTCACAGCAGTTCACGAGCAGCGCACCAGTGAAGAAAGGCTATACGCAGCGACGCGCAGCCTGTGTACGTGTGCGGAACAGTAAATGTACGACCGCGCCTCGTTTAGTTCTTCTTTTATCACAGAAACAGGTCGTCCAAATCCCAATGAATTTCTGAGCCACAGGCGGTGACGTTGAAAAGAAAAGCCAGAGCAGAAGCCATGCCGCGCGGGTTCCTGCAAGAAACCATTTGTGTGGCCACTCAGCAGTTCCGCTGTTCGACGGAAGCTTGCGTTTCAGTCGGGTTCACGTTTTCCCACATGAGCTTGTTCCCCCCCTGAGGTTCCCGGCACCATCCGTAGAGAACAAGGGGAGACCCGGGTCTCCGACCGTCGGTGGCACACGCGACCGGGCACGAGTGACCGGTGGAGTGACCGTGACGGACCGTGACGGACATGGTGGACTCCGTGGCCAGTCTAGATATCTCGGTTTTTGTTTCTTCCGAGTGGCGAAAAGGAAAGGAATGTCCTGAACACTTCTGTGCCGATCTCGGTCCCTGGACTTCGACAGATTCGATTCGTCGAAAGCGGGAAGCGTGAGGACGGCGGGGGACGCAACCGTCGGACGCGACCGGGGGATAGACCATGATGAACCCGGAAAGGGCAGTCTCACAGGACTCGTAAAGAAGACCCACAGAGGGAAGCCAAGGAGACTATGAAGTTGTGGTTGGTTGGTTGGTGGGTGGGTGGGTGGGTGGGTTGGTTGGTTGGGCATGTGTCGACTGCAAGCTTTGGTGTCGCACCCTTTCTCTATGTGTCACAGTTATGTTGGGTTCCTGTCCTGTACATGCTTACGGCCATGTTGAGCCACGGGCAAGCATCAGCTTACATGTTGCGACACACAGTGTTGTTGACTGTTAGCATGCCCCCTTAGCTGTACATACAAATATGCTTCTGCACGAACAAAATGACATCAATGTCGGATCGCAATTTTTGAAGAGCAATCAAAAAGAAACATCTATTTTGAATCTCATGATGTTCCAAAGAACCGGCCGACAGGTGGACAATCTATGAACATCTTGTCACAAAGCCTTTGGCCCTCTCTGTGAAGCCAGAACCTTTAGACCATCAAGAGTTCCGAGATTGATGGTCTTTTCGAGACGCAACATTGCTTCAAGGAGTTGCGCTGGATTGTGGGGCGTGTTAAGGGTCAACAGTTCCTGCCACCCAACATGTCAGGTGATGCTGTTCCTGCCTTCGACCAACTGTATATGGAGATGCAACAGGGGAATTCTGCACAACAGAAAAGCTGCGTCATCGAGTGATACAGCTTGGTTGCAAGTCCAATGGTCCCAACTTGAAGAGCACAAACCTCGAGGAACTGAGGAACCACATGCTGGAGGAATGAGGCAGGAATAACACGAAGCCAGCACAGCAGCACAGCCAGCGAACACATGCACCAACCAGCTGCTGGAGGATTCTTGGCCATCAACATGACGAAAGTAGTTGAACTTCTGACTGAATATCGTCCGTTGTGCCAGCGCATCCCAAGGCAGGCGCAGAGTCAAAGCCATGGTCCGTAAGGAAATGGAGCCATGCACGTGCTCAGCCATGGGAGCGGGTGCAGGTACTGAAACGCGACGTTCGCATCCGACCAGCGAGTGTCTGACGGTACGGCAGACGCGACGTAAAACGCTGGCGGTTGAAAACCCACCCAGGGCCCATGCTGGCATGCTGCTCCCCCTTCTGCAGAAATGATCTGGCTCATGTAGTACAAACCGATGCAATATATATATATGTCCAATTGAAATACTGACCTCAGTCTGAATTTTTGGCACCGGGTGTATCCGCCCGGTGCCACCCACCTTAAAGCCAGCGACCTTAAAGCCAGTGACCGTCTAATAACAGGTGTTCCGAACGGTGTTTCGCGACGGGACGGGCACGTCTGCCTGTCCGACCCTTGGACCCCTCGCCAACGAAGAGGAGCAGAAGAGGGCTGCGCGGGTCCGAAGCCCACCGTCCGCAAGACGGCGGAACGAGAAAGGGGAAGGGACGTGAGCAGGGAGACATCGAGATATACGCAGCGACCCAGGCTGCCGGAATCTGAAGACGACGTGCGAAGGAAGGAGGTCACAGAAAGGCAAAACGTGCGTACCTTGCGGTAAGCATCCCCGTTCTCAGGTGCAATCAAAGCTGGTTTAGTCCAGGTTCTTCAAAGTGACCTAGTTTTCAGGAATCCTTTCATGCGATTTTGGGTTCCAAACCGACTAAGAACCCGAACCGTGGTGAGAAGTTTCTCTCCAAATCCTCCATGGTGGCCGTGCTTTTCTTTCTCCGGCCGATGTGTTGGATACCTCTTTACTACGCCATCGTATCGTGTGAGGTCATCCTCCGGGTGGCTTCTCGCGCAAGGAAGAGCTCCAGGCTCCGGCGGCTTTTAGACACCCTGACCGGAACCCGTGCCGGATCCAAGCGCCCCCCATGGCCAGGGTGGGAGAGCTCTCCCAGTGGCGCCTCAGAACCTTGCCCAATCATCCCTAAGGATCCGCATACCTTCGAAGGTGATTGGAGACTATTGATGTAGGCTTGGAGAGCCCAGTCATACCTTCTGAGGTTCGGTATGTGGATCCGGCATGGAACATCGTCCACACAAATCACATGAACCCCGATTCCTGTTCTTCCCGATCCGACCGGGGGCGGACGTCGGTGAGTGCTGTCGAGACCGGACACGAACACCCGCCCCACTTGGAGGTTCTCTTTGTTCCACACTGGGAGACAGCTTCTTTCGCTTACAGTTTCAGTGGCTGGAGGGTCTGAAAATCCTGCATCCATGCCACAAGGAGGCGGTGGGTAGATCCTTTCTGGTTTCCCAGCTAGGCTGGGTGGTCTTCGTCCGAAGTGCACCACGGGAAAGTGGACAACACTCTTAGATTTGCTGATCTCTCTCCAGCAGACACTGTAGTCTGCTCCCCACATGTCCTCTCACAATGCCTCACTGTGCTCCAGCTGTCCGCCAGGAGGAAGGGCTTCATGTCTGCAGCCCTTCTCGAGCTCGCAGGTGCGGTGCCATCCTCACGTCACGTGTGGCGCATGGGGGGGATTCGACCCGGATCCGGGACCCCGAGGAGACCGTCGGGTTTCGGGTCGCCTGCGAACTGGGAGACTGGACGGAGACCGGACCCCAAAGCCGGACGAGTCTGGGGCTTCTCACGCTGGGTTGGGAGGGAGGAAGTCGGGCCGTTTTCACTCACGAAGTCTCTGGGGGGTTGGACATTTTGGGGGTTGTGAATCTATCCCTTGCAACATGCTTGATGAACAAAGACCAGAGGATGCTGCTTGTTCTCTGGACCCATGTTGGCGTTCTTTGTTTCGCCTTGGTCGCGCACGTCAGAACAGTCCCTACTTGATCCTAGAGATATATGGCATCCAAACGGCACCAGCAAAACCTTGCTTGACCCCCCAATAAATACTTGCATGAAGATATGAACCCCCCTATGTTTGGGATCCTACCCTGGTTTGGTGTTTTTTCGGTGCCATGACAAAAACAGCCATATGGCCATGACTGTGGGTTGCGTCCGAGTTACATGAGGAGTGCCATGTGAAGTCAACCGTACCCGTATCGTGCCAGCTCAGGAGACTGAACCTGTTTGCTCAGGACAGATGGGAGCTCGGTGTTTGATTCTTCTCGTGTGCCTGGCCCAAAACGCACCCTGGCAGGCCAACCCCCTTAATCACCCTGCGAGTGAGGCTTTCCAGGGCACTGAGAGCAAGCATTTTGCAAAGGCTGACCGAAAGTCTCAAAGGAGTTTTTGGAAGACCGACCCAGTAGAGTTGAGAATCCTGCGCAAGTTATGACCAGTTGGGTGTGCTTGAAGATCGCCTATAAAGATCGCCGATCAACAACGTACGTGTGGGGAGAGTCGAAGACGAACGGAAGAGAGTCCTGATGTGGTGCCCATGGCATTGCCTTTCAGATCTTGTTGGTGTACAACAACCCAGAATCTTCTTTTTATATTGGACCTGCTGTGAACTCCGCCAGGCTTCAGCGGTCAGCGGCCGGAATCGTTGAAAATTTCCCGGTCAAACGGCAGTGCATGCAATCACGAACGGAAATGTCGAGCTTCTGCCATCAACTCGAACTAGCAAGAGATCAACCGTGAAGGTCTACAAAGTTGAGGTAACAGGTACCCGGAGGAACAACTCCTGGGCCTGTTGAGGTAATATGTATAACCGTTCTGCTTTCCACCCATGTTTCCTATGTTTTTCCACTACTTGTTCGTGCGAAGAAAAGCCTGCCAATAACATCCAAGAAACACCTTCGAGGTGTTCGACGCATGGAAGGCTTGACCACGTGTCAGTCGGGAGTTGAGAGGGCAGATTCCCGTGGATGTTGCTCGCAAACCGCGGGCCTTTACTGTGGTGGGAGTTGTTCGCTTTGCATGATAAGGGCTTGGAGCCACACTAATGGAAGTTTCGCCTGGTGTCTCACCTCATCTCTACATATTTCTACCAATTTCTCAGTGTTGATGCTTTTTCCACCCGATGATTCACACCTCCTTCTTCAGAAACTTGTGATCCATGTTGCGGTCGATATTTATTTGGTATTCTTCGGCAACTGCTCAGAAAGAAACTCGTGTTTCGCACCTTTCCGAAACCATTTCGCGATCTTCAGGGAGTCGGGCTGGGGGGGTTGGGTGGGTTGGACTCATCCCTTCTGGAGCCGCTACATCCCGAAACCATTCTTCACGTGGAACCGCTCCGGAAAAACCGTCTAGTTACTGAAGAGAAGTCCAAAGACTCTATTCTGCCTCATTGAAGTAAAGGACGTTTCTTTCGGGGTCACCTATACAAGACCATCTAACGAACAGTCTTTGGACTCCCACAATTGACTCGTTACCAAATAGAACTCCGTTTTTCCGGGCTCTTCAGAGCCCCTCCCGGGCTGACCTCAAGCTGGTCAGCAGTGGCGGGGTCGAAGCAATCCCTTTGGATCGGAGCGGAGGGTCCAGCGTCGGCGCGAGGAGCTGCCACGGAAGGGACGGCTCCGGACCTCTGCTTTAGACTTCTTCGGAATGAAGGAGGAGAGCGATCCGCTGCAGGCGCGCGACGGCGATGAGCGGTCGCGAGGGTGTCGCGGGGCATGATCAGTCGCCATGATTGAAGGGACCTGGAGGTTTCGGAAGCGACCAGCCCCTAGTAGCGTCCTTGCTCCTAGTAGTGTCAGAATGAAGGGCCGAAGCTGAGTGGTCATCAAAACCCGCATGATTTGGCAGTTTTGAATCAGCTTTTGCAGCCTCACCTGTCAACACCCTTGAAACTTTCAGTTTCGCCCCAAGTCCTCCACCTGCCCCAGGTGTTCAATGACCCCATCGAAGACTTCCAAGCACCTCCGGCCAGCCTGGCTCAGCTGCGGGGCTGTTGGCCGGCTTCAGCCCAGGGTCCCACCATCCAAAAGGTGCCCCCCCCAAAGTGGTCCGCACACTTTGAAAGTCATGGCTTTTGTTGGATTTGATGAGTGTTTTCCAATTTTATTTTGCTGACTGATAATATATTATCTGAACGTGTTATTTTTCCACATATTTTTCAGGTTTTCTTCTACACTGGATCAAGCTGCACTCCTCTTCAACACCCCCCTGGACTTTTTGGTGTGGAGGATGGGCTAGCATGTGTTGTTGGGATTGCTGGCCTGGCCCCCCATCAAACCTGGCTGGTGGATTTGGGGGTTGAAGATTCAGTGGATTTCACCCGTCTCGCTTTTTGGATCGTTTTCAAAATTTAACAGGAGGGATTTCATGCCTCTCTCGGATGCCTTCCTTCCTTCCGATGCCTCTGTTGGAGTGTCTCCGAGTTGGCCTCGTCGAGGTTGGGCTGGAACAGATCGAGGTGAAGCCACGTCAGCCTTACGTGCTGGAGGAGGCGGGGTTCCTTGGGATCGCGCTTGCTTGGCCGGTGGGCGGTGCGTGAGAATCTCTCTGTGGGTGGTGATGGTTTGTCTCATGCGGCACCAAGATGACAGGATGCAGGGGGATGCAGGATGGTCAGCTCGAAATCCAGGGTCAGATGGTCACCGAAGGAGTCACTAACCACCGGAGAAGGAGTCACCAGCCACGTCGAACCTGAAGCAACGCTGGTACCGGCGGACTCCTTTCGTCTCTGACTCCGGTGACGCTGCGCGGTACCGGTGACGCTGCGGCCTCGCCTCGTCGGGCCTTCTGCAGGTGCAGCTAGACCGTCCGGGACGTCGCTCCGTGGAGGTGCCGATCCACTCGCCCGAGGAGGCCAAGGTGTGGGGACCGGTGTGGTGGGGGGGAGGTAGACAGGTGGAGTAGACAGAAGGGGTTCTCCATTTTTGGGGATTTAACCTTGAGGAGCATGATGACCAGGAGTTTCTTTTTCTCCGGTGGTTTTTGGACACCCTTTCGCCTCTTTCAGAGACTATGAACATAGTACATAGACACCTCTAGGACTCAGCTGGAAGGTCCTGGTAGATGTGCTTTCCATGATCAGCTGATGTGCTTTCCATTCCACAGCTCTTCAGATCGACACTTCCCTTTGGTACGGTACAGCTGTGTCGGGCTTCGGGTCGTTCTTGGGACCCCGAGACCGTTCTTCGACAGCGGGAACGACACACACGGGAGTGGACGATGGGGCGAACGGTGGCAGTGGATACATACATGTATATACCAGGGCCTGGCATAGGGGTGGTGTTCATGGACACCAAGAAAGTACGGCTAAGGCTGTTTGGGGCTAGAATTAGACACCCCGACAGGAGGGTCCGGGTATACAGGTTAGAAAGAAAGATCGTTTCTTGAGGGTTGCGCAGTGCATGCGTCTCATCTACCCGATGTCCCCGAGAGAGGTGGAAGAGATTGGCGAATCATGTCCAGCGGACCATTTTTTCAGAGCTGAGCTTCGGTTCTGAGAGGCGAATGGTTCAGAGTGGGCTAATTTTCAGAGAATTGCGCAATTGTCTTCTGCCTGACACCGGTATCACCTCCCATTTGTACAAGATGCTCATCGGTATCACAACATTGTCATCGGATGACCATGTGATTAAAATTGGTGGGTTGGGGCGTCACAGTCTAAGATCGGTTTCACCACATGTTCATTGGCTTCAAGACATTGCGCTAAGAAGAAGCCGCTCAGAAGAAGCCTGGAAGCACGAAAGTGATCCTTTACTTCGCCACACAGATGTCGTTCAAAGCAACCTCTGTTGCGGAAGACGGTTTGCTTGTCGAAAGACGCTTTTGGATCGCGGTGTGCTTGGCCGACTTCACTCCGACACCACGGATCACTGAATGCCAATTGACGTTCTTCTGGCTCATCTCGGTGGGGAAGGAACTGATGTTTGGGAGAGAAGGAACTGATATTGATGCTAGCATGATTGCAGCAATTTAGGAAATAGCATGTCACACCCAATTCAGTGGCAATTCGCCATGCGGCGATAAATAAAACCAGTGACCCCACAGCCGGAGACGTTGGTGACCCCTAAGCTCAACCTCAATCAGTTTGAGTGACCGGAAGTCCCGGTCCCAAAGTCCCGGTCACGTGCGTCTCGGTGAGAAGCGAAACGCGTCGTTCGCTTTCAGATCTGTCGCCGCATTCTCCACCGGCGTCGTTGCGTGATGAACACACGCGGCGGTCGGTTTCCTGCAATGCTCCCCTTTTCCGTCGGTCGGTTTTCACGTTTCACTCCGGACGGAGTGGTCTCACTCCGTCCGGCGTCAACGGTTGCAGCGCAGCCTGGCCGCCAGGCCTTTGCAGCGAACTACGCGGCCCGGGCGTCCCGGGCGACGATGTGTGGAGAAACGATGCACCGAACAGACGAGGCGAAGCCCAGGTGTTTTTTTGGAGTGGCGCCCGGTCACAAGTCACCAGAAAACGACATGCAAACAGGAGAAGGTCCGTTGACCCACACAAGAAGATGGAGTTTGAACTGGAGAGTGTCGAGATCTCGCCCTGTTCACAAACTGGTGTCTTTTTCAGAGGTTTTTTTCAACCAGACATGGTCGGACTCAAACCCTTTGGCCAAAGCAGTTCACGTAGACTCTTCATCAATAACCCCCCCATAAATCCAGAGGGGTTTATTCATCAAGAGTCTACATTGGTTGGTCCCTGGTTGGACCTGAATTGCGCCCTGCCCGCACCTCCATCCCAGGTCGCCTCGCACCTCCCAGTGGATGTGGATCTGGCTCGGGACGCCCGGTTGCTTTCCACCGAAGCCACTCCCCGGCTTGTCCGTGCTGCGGAGTGGCCCTCGCACGGAGGGTGTTTCACACACCCCCGAACGGCGGTTGGGTGGAATGGGGGTGGTTGGAGTCCACCATGCTTCCTTTAAACGACCGGAGTGAGAGGACGCCCGGAGTGGATTTATTCATTCTTTTTTTTCACCAGGCAAAGGTGGCGTCAAACACGAGGTGTTTCTTCATAATCCACAACAGTTTTGGGCCAATGATTGCTCCATGAGCTGACATGATCAGAGCATCAAGGTCAAAGAAAAAGGTTGGGTTTTGGAGCCATCAAAGCCTTTCGTTGAACCGACCGGTTTCTTTTCGAAGAAGTTGAGACAACGGTGGATGCTCTTGGACTTCTTCACCCGCCAGGAGAAGAATCAGATCGTCCCAGATGATCCGACCCAGGCGACATCGCCCGATGACAGCGTTCATCCACGTGGAGTCCGATATGTCCGATGAAACAGCATGAAATCAATAAAAATCAATCACATACTACTCAAAGCGGGTGCAAAAGGACCAGGCTTTACTGGGTCTGGACCTGTAGGGCAAGGGCATGGTGTTGACTTCCGGACCGCTTGCATGGTGTTTCTTCGGTCTTGGCTTCTGTCCACGTGGTGGGGCCGTCGTGGGTGGTCGTGCCAGGCGCCTGATCAGCCAGACGAAGAGGTTCAGTATTGGGTCATGGAGGTGCGCAGACGAACCGGGTCTACCCGGTGGTGGCGCCGGGTTTGTATAGGTCTCATCACGTCGCAGAACCTCACCTGACCCCGGATATAAAGGATTTCATTTTCCAGAGATCCATGTGGATCCATGTGGTGCTTCGCTTCTGGCACGGAATTGCCCCGCGGACATTTCCGCTGGCTTTGTAGGGCTCTGATGGATCTGGGCCAGTGGTGGTTCATCATGAACATCATGCCTGGAGGCCCAGCCTAGGGCTTTTCTCAGCACTTCCAGCTAGGAGTGGACTGTTCCTTGCCACGCTTGGCCCCATGGCCCCATTTTGAATGTCTGGAATATGAATGATCTAAAGACATCTAAAGACCATTGAATTTCTATAGAAGCATACACACACAATCAAACAAAGACATCTTTATGAAACCACATCATCCGAGTGGGATTTCGGTGACCTCCGCTTGTCCCAGCCACCACTGGTCACCCCCCGAAGGATCGGGTTTGACCCGCAGGACGGGGCCAGGCAGCCAGTTGTTGCCAGTGGTCGGCTTCGTTTGGCACAAACATGGCCAGAAAAGGTGCATCGCTTTTGGTGCTTTCGATGCTTTCTGGCTGCCACACTCATGCAGCATCATTAGCATAGTCTAGCATGTTCTTTGACATTTGGTCCAGCCATGTGACATAGACTTATTGTTTTGAAGGTAGAGGGATGGGTAGCAATCTAGGGTTCCAATGACTTCGGCAGCACTAGGCCTTTGACCTTCAGAGGAAAACGCCCCAAGCCCCTCACCAGTGAGGTCAGCCATGCCCATCATGATCATGATCATCTTGGGCATCACCATGGCAGGGAGCCACAGATCAAACCGCCCAGTCTTTTGTTCTTCACGAGTCTACAAGCTCTTAGGTTTGGCGGATCGGGTCCTGAACCGGGTGATGTTCCGCAACTGGGTGTAATCCCCTTCATGATGTGTTTTTGGTAGTTTTAAACACCTATTTTCACCTGTTCCTGGGCCAAGACGATGTCGCTCAAATGGCAACCTATATCATAATTATGGAGCTGATAGGATCAGATGTTTCCGGTCTCCGTCTGCGAACCGACACGGATGCCATGCGCATCCATTCGCTACTGGTTGCTGTTCCCAAATTATGAGCCCCCAAAACCATTGAGCTGGAGGTTCACATCAGATAGTGTTACAAGTTCCATGTTTTTACATCATTCATACATGAATCGACCAGGTTGGGCCTTGTCTATTTCCACTCGTTTCCTGAAACATGGACGGAACGACCCAGTTCACTCCGCTGGAACAACCGGGCCGACAGCTGCCCACCTGAAGTTGACCGCTGGGGCAGGCAACAGCGGGGGAACCGACCCCCATTCTGAGGCAAAGATGGGATGTCCTACTCGGAGCATGAAGATGCTGGGCAATGTCGGGCATTCTCTTTTTTCTAGGAACAAGTGCATCGCTACTAGTAACAAGTGCATCGCTTCTAGTAACAAGTGCCTTACTAGTAGTAACAAGAAGCTATTAGAAACAAGAATTAAAAGTTTCTTCCATTTTTTGAGCTTTCACGTTTTGGGTGAGCTGTGAGCTGTTCGGGATCAACTTCATCCCCAAGTCAAGTCACCAATTTAGGCCTTGAGGCCTTTCAATTCTACAGAGGGAACTTTATTAGCAGAAAGAGTCTTTTGAGCCCTACAGTGGTTTGGGAGAATCATTTTGTTTGGGAGAAGAATCATCTTGTCAGTCCTGGAGAGTATGAGTCGTTTGGGAGAATCATTTTCATGAACAAAGGAACCATGAGTCCCGCACGATTCCGAACGACTGCGAACTCTTCGTCCAAGGAAACCATCACCCACACCGGGCACGGCGGGCAACACGGTACGCCATGAGCAAGCATGATCGGGCACTGCGGCGGGAACCTCTGTTGAGAACCTGTTGGGGAGTCAATGCAATTCAGCGGGACGAAGTCAAAACTCTGCCCCCACCAACAATTCACCCCCGGAATTACACATACTTGGACATCGTGAGACGGTCTTTTTCTGGGCGCCGGTCAAGCTCCAAACGCCTCGGATTGGGCACCTTTTCTCAGCTCGCCGGAGCGAGCCGTTGGTGGCCCGACGGGTGACGGCCCTGATGAGCTGCCAGGAGAGGGCGGAGCGATGACGGCCGCAGCCTTGGACGAGCGCTGTGATACATCGGATCAGTGCAGTGTTTGGGACATTTCGAGACACGGACTCTGGACTGAATCGACGCATCTGGAAAAACCCGATCACTGATCTCCGAAGTGAGGGCGGGGGGCCCATCCCGCACTGCGGCGAATTGATCTGCGAGGGTGAAGCAGGGTTTGGTAAGCAGGAGTTCCTCGGAAGGTTCGCAGGTTTCTCTGCCAGTGTTTGGTTCCAAAGAGCGCCTCCCCAAGTCCAGGTGCGGCATCACATCGTCCATCGAGTGCACGATGAGCCGCAGGGAACTCGGCCCACCGCGGAGTGACCCACTACGGGTGAGCGGTCGACGGCCCAGTGGAGTGACCCCTGGACGTTGGGCCATATTTGGGCGTGGCGGGTGGTCCGACAGGCGGTCACTGGGTCAGGTTTGAGGTATCTACAATGTACAACTTGACACTTCCTTCGGGCTCAGTGACCGAAGCAGCCAGGGAATCAAGTTCGCCTAATTAAGATCAAACTTCGAAAATCATGTAATCATGTGGGTGTCTCAGAATTTGGCACAACATAAATGGTGCTTTCTGGACATGATATTTTACCCGAACATCATCCACTTACCTGGTTCTTTAACACTTTCTTACCCATAGGATTCGGTGCACAGACTTCGTGTCTGCACGTTGAACAAAAGGAACGAACGAACGACGTGTTGCCACCGTCTCCGAATGCGACCCGAGCTTCTCAATGAGTCGATACTGGACCCCCCGTCCCCCGACAAAGCTACAGCTCCTTCACGTCTTGCAGTTGCGACCTGGTGAGATGAAGGACCAAAACCACAGGTTTGAAGGACGTCACCCCGAGGTTGCAAACACGAGGTTTGGCATGTCACGTGAACACAGGAGGTCTGGAACTGAACTTGACGGGATTGGAGGCTGATGACGTTCGTGTTGGCTCCATTTTGTTTTGGACTGAAGGACTGAGAAGGGGCGTGTTTTTGAGCAGTTTTTGAGCGCCTCGCATCAGAATCAGATGCCAAGGCCAAGACAGCGCTTCGTGCCTCCCCCCAAGCCGCAGGTGTGGAGGGCGGATGAGCTTGGGAGAAGATTCAGGAGAAGACATAGGTTCAGCGATTTTCTTCCATCTCTCCTATACAAATCAATTTGTCCCGACCATTCCTCACCTCCACATCATCAACAAGCTAAATGCCAGGGAGGAAGAGAGAATTTCTGCGATGTTTCCGCTCTCTGTGACTGGTTTTCTCCTGGAGTTGGACGAGTATTTGGCCTGGTCTTCGCCTTTCTTCCTGCAGCCCAGACATGAACCCCCCTCTTGACATGATGGGAAGGGACTCCATATCATTCTGAATGTTGGGGTGCTTGGGGCGATTTCTGGTTCCCCCAAAATAGAGGTCACTCAGACTCTGCGTTCGGTTCTGGGGAAAGCTTCACCCAATCCGAAGCGACCTCGGAGCGAAGCGTCGCTTGGATGGATCGGAGCCATCGGAAAGGTCGGAGGCTTCGGCCCATCCCAGAGGTCCAAGAAGTACCACTGAAAGCGGGTGGCAGGGGGAGCTGAAACGCCTGAAACTCACGCAACCAGCGAAAGACCCATTAAGAAGTCCAGGAAAGATCCATTTTGGACCAACGGTCTCACGTGACCCGAGTTCAGCAATTTCCTGAAACCTTCGGTGCAGGGGCAAGGAGTTCGTCACTCCAAGGCATCGAGTGTCTACATCACATCTTGAGTCGAGTGAGGTGTTTTGTTCTGCACCGAACAATTGGAAAAATAAGACACAAACTCCCATGGCCACATGGCCCCCATGGCACCGATTCCGATCCCTGAGCCTTTGTTTTCGTCGATTCCGGCAGACACCGGGACTGCGCGGATCGGCCCCCGGCAGACACGTCGTCCTCAGGACGAGGAGTTGAAGCTGTTGGACGAGCCACAGGTCGAACGGACGGTCACGGTTCGGGCCGTGACCGGGGCGTGAAAACGCCCAGAAAGCTGTGGTGTAGGATCCAGAAAACGCCCAGACGGTCCCGTTCTTGTGTGTGTGTGTGGGGGTGTAGGATCAAGAAGGACGATCGAAATTCACCCTTTTTTAAATGTGTGGTCAAGTGGCAGGTTCACGGAAATTGATCCTCCAGCATCCTCCAGCATCCAGAGTTTGGGGTGTGAACTAGTGGATTTCCACATGGCTTAGGCCCATTTTTTCGGCCAAGATCCATGGACCATAGAGGACACAGAGTCGAGGATACATCTCAGACAGGATCTCCGCATTGGGTTGTTGGTGTGTCAACTTCCTTGGTGTGGGGAGCTATAGGGACTGGGTCACTTTGAGCCAGTGGGTGGAGTTCGACCTCGAGCATTTGTCTTTCGCTGATCCAGGCGAACAGGCGCGTTTGAAGTTTGGTCGATGAAACCGGCCGGAAGAAACCTCATTTCAGGTCGAACAGGTGACCGTGATTCGTGCAGAATGTCGGTGATTCGTGCAGCTTTCTTCCCACGGGTCAGGTTGGCAACAAAGCAATGACAAACATATGCCATCCCCGTGTCCATTGCCTCTGTGAAATGAGGGGGGTCCACCATCATCCTAAAACGCTTTATGATCCCCCTCCTTGGGGGGGTCAGGGGGTCATTTTACAAAGAAAACGTGCATGTACAGGAGACATGTCAGATTTTGTATGCTTTCCGTTGCCTCTTTCAATACCTCATGAAACAGATATATATAAATGATGCAAAATGAGAAGTTGGAATGATAAGCAAAAGATATAGCTTTTATGAGCAGAATGATCAGATGTCAAAAACAAGGAACAAGTTTCCTTGCAAATGCTTCAGACGCTTGGTTTGCGTGAGCTTGACCTGGCTTGGGTTGCGCAGCCATGGAAGAGCCACCAGGATGTCCGCAGATTTGTGTTCTTTGACTGCACTCATTTGGACAGCTGATGAGCTATATTTCAAGACATAAAACCCCAAAAACATTGTGGGAGTGCGCTGTGAGTGTCTGGACTAAGTGCATCCGGGATTGCTTGGAGAACATGTGCAAGCCGTCGTTCAATCCCAAGTATGGTCTGTGGGGTGCCTTGGGCAGCACTGGGCTGATCTTGGCTGTGCATTGAACATGGTTTGTTTGTTCAATAGCGTGCCTTCATTTTTCATCTGGATTTCTTAAAGCATTGCTGCGGCCCAGTTGCTCGATGCCAAATGCAAAAAGGGCGTCCGAGCTGGCATTACACATACTGGGACGAGACTACGTATCTCGGCTATGTCATGATGTTGGAAGCTTTCTGTTCAGGCTACAGCTAGTGGCTAGTGAAAAGAAACACAATGAAACATATGAAAGCTTCACAAAAAAGAACTATTGACCTGAGCATCCACACCAATCCTCCCAGGAAGACGTGGATGTGGACGCTGGAAATCTCTCGGATGGTGAAGAATAGGGCGGCAGCCGCGGCCGGAACGCTTAGAGTCACAAATCTTTGGCAGATGGAAGTGTTCGGGCACAGTTCTTTGATATTCTTTACAATTTGTGTTTGTTGCAATTCTTTTTTTCATTCTTTTACTGTGGATCTGGAGTGGTTTAACCGCAGAGTTTTGCCGCTTCAAATCCGGGGACAGACCATTGTGAGTCATCGTGTGAGCAATGAGCGGGCCTGGTGTGGACACAGCAACTACTATAGAAGATGAGAGTAAGACTCATTGCAGCAATCAGTGGTTCACATTTCACAGCTGCCTTTTGTTGGGAGTGAGGTTGAGTCTGTTTTCTCATTGAATCGCCTTTGGATTCCTTTGCTTGTCCCTTGCTAGTTTTCTGTTGGGATCAGACATCTTTCAGGTGGGCATGCGGCTTCTGTAAAATGACTAGTCCCAACCCCTGGGTTGACTAGGTTTGTGAGTCCAATTGTATGGAACAAAGAAAGTAAAAATGCGCGAAGCAGTATTCACATGTACTTCCTAAAGTCTACCAACAAACAGGTCGAATGCTTGCTCATTGAGAGGGTTGGGGGTGTACAAAATACAGAGGCATGTTTGCACGCCACAGTCCACCAGGTGGTTCCATGCTAGCAAGCACATCGCATTTCTTACGTGGCTGACACGTCAAATGATGGCCAGCAGTCGCTTGGCGCAGAGTCGTCTCAGGCTTTCCTAGTTTTTTGAAACGTTGGAAGATGCAGTTTGCATGAATATTTTTGCAAAGATTTGCAAACTCAAAAGTAACTGCGGACTCTCAGTTACGCGGAGCTACCACTGCCTGGATCTGTTTGGAGGATCGAAAGCGGCGTCGCCACTTGCCCGCAATATCTGGGGGTTGTTAAAACAAAAACTGCAGTCATAAAATTTTAGACATTTTTAAATTTCTCCAAGAGTTGAGGTCATGCTGGACCAGGGCTGGGTACAAATCAAAGAGCTTCGACATTTTGCTTTCAGAGGAGCATGACATCACGTCGTATCACGGAGTGCTCATGCTTTTAAGGATGTTGCTCGGGTCGCTTGAACTGTGAATGCTGCGTGTCAATGTCAACTTCTGTACACACATTGGAATTGGAACATGAGGTTTTGCAAACTGATGGGTTGGCTATGATTTGTTGAGGCTGCTTCCCCAAGGGCTGATCCTGGCTGGACCACCTTGTTCCCTCTTGGTTGGAGCTTGCCAAAGCATTCACCGTCGTTCTATCTCCAACTTGCTCGGCGATTGTTCCAGACGGGTGGTTCGCTTGTCGAACATCATATGGAGCAATTTTGTGGCCAGATTGAATTAGGGCAGTTTCAATTTCATTCACACGTGCTTCGCGTAACTCACCCTAATATACCGTATTTGTTTGATTGTGTGTGTGTGTGTGGTTTTGTGGTATGTTTTTAAATGGCAACATCATGAGGCTACCTGCCTGATGATAATTGGAAGGCCCAGTTGGAAATGGACAATTCATTGAAAATTGAATGATGTAGCCAGCCTTTCACCTTTGACCTTCACTAGAAACCTGGCGCATTGTCAGGCTTCGCGAGGATTTGCGACTGCTCATTGAACAGCCGTCCAGCAGTTGGGGGTTTAAGCTTCCCTGCATGCAGCCAATCATTGATTTGTGGAATTTGTACCTTGGTCAGGATATGAGATAGTCCAGGGGTGCAGAGATGATCTTGCTTTGCTAATCTTTCAGATGCTTGTTCCCTGAGGAGGAAGATCACTACATGGATGGGCTGTTTTTCACACGATCTGGCAAAGTGTTCGCACTTGCTTGCCAGCTGGAGGTAGGACTTTTTTTTAGTCGTGTCAGTTACACACTTTTTTTTATGTTTTTACTAGTTTTTATATGTTTTTATCATTTCTTTTCTCACCAGGAGCGCTGATCTTCTAGGGCGGCGTATGACAGCGAGCCTCAGGAAGGTAATCAAGGAGTGCTCGCACAACGTACATACAGTTCAAGTATGTTCATGTAAAAATTCCAAACCTATCCACATGAAATTCAAATCCGTGCATCATACAGCTAGAATCAGCGCTGTGTCAGGACCGGTTTGAGAAGCGGCAATCGAAGAGAAAGGTCCCCAAGGCAAGGCGAGTGTCCAGCAAATCAGATGTGGGCAGAACTTCCAATTCTTTTCAAGCCCCCTGCTTCCTTCATCTTTATCTTTCATTGCTTGGTAGGTGTACTATGTCCAGCACCAAAACGGCACGTGGTCTGGAGGAAAGAACCTTGCTGATAGCGCCGCATACACTGGGAGCTTTTGTCGCGCAGTCATGAAAGTTTGGCTGTGCGACTAGAAAGCATCATGTCTTTCATGGTCTTTCACAAGACACAAGAGAGCACCACGTTGCTTGGGACGAATGATTTGAGGTGATTTTAGTATAGTAGATGGGCCTTTCATAGCCTTTCTGACCTGTCAAATTTGAATTCTGGGTCCGAGATGTTCTTCATTGTTTTTCTTTTCCGGCTGAGGGTTGCCGGCTGAATGTTTCCGAACCTTCTGAAGTTGGGAAGGCTTCAACTTGCAAAGGCAAACAGACCTGCGTGGCAGACTGAACAGTTCTGCTACAGAAAGCAAGGGAAAGTGCAAATGGCTGCAATGCTTTTCTGGCGGTTCCTTCATGTTCCTTCAAATTCTTGATGTTTTTGCACCCGTGACCAACTTGTTTCTGGAAAATTGTTCTTTTTTTTTTTTAAACAGCGTGCAGATTCATTGGGCAAGGTCAAGGCGGAACCGCCTCCTTTACCTGCACCTGCTCACCCTCCTGCGGAATCAGGACCAGCTGCAGGTTCTATTTGCCTTGAGGGGGTTGGGATTCATCCTTTTATAGAGATGATGGCTTTTCCTTTCCTAAAGCCAGAAGCTTTGTAGCGCACACCCAATACTACCCAATACATCCCAATACATTGAAGCATGAAAGTGCTTTACGTGTATATATACTTTGAGAGGGTTGGGTCCTATCATTTTAGAGATGACGCATTGCAAGGACGCAGGGACACGTACAGTAGTGGCTGATTTTGAAAGGTTGTGAAAGTATATGAGAGTGGTTTGTTTGGCTAGGACCTGCAGATGCACCAGATCCTGCGCCACTTCAGGATGCACCTTCAGGTACTGTGGGCGGCAAATGTGACATGATGACCGCTCTCATTTGTTCTCTACCCGACGTATATTATATATTATTATATCAGACATTATCAGACTGTATCTAAAATTGCAATGTATATATATATATATTATATTTTGTCAGTGCGTATTTTTCAAAGAGATTAATAGAGTTCCGCAGTCCGTGTTTAGTTTTCTACAAGACTTTGAGGGACTCTCAAATGAACTTGTTTTGCTTGTTTGATGTTGCTCGGATATATTGTGACGCTTCTTTTACTTGATTTATATCGATTTAGCGCAGTGTTTGATGTAGCTAGGAGCCCAAGCTGCTGCAGAATCTGCAATCGCACCGCCTCCTTTGTCAGACTCTGCAGCCACGGCGGTGGCTTTGCCAGCAGAAGAGCCGAATGGCCAGAAACCTCCAACTGCAGGAGCATACTATATACATCTATATACTGTACTTCATTTTACATCTATAATAATATCGTATAATCTCTATATATATATAGTGTTTTTTAAATTTGTTTCATATTATCATTTGATATTTTTTGTGAGTTTTTTCCATTGTGTGGGGGTGGGGGGGTTGGAAGAGCCATTCTATGTGTTTTGAGAGGGATGGGACACGCATTTTACAGAGACAGAGTTTTGCATTGTGGAGGTGAGGGGGTTGGAAGAGCAATTCTATGTGTTTTGAGAGGGATGGGACAGACATTTTACAGACACAGCTGGTTGATTCAAGCGCGCTTGTCTTCAGCATCCTTCATTGCAGGACCCACAGCTCCTACAAATCCAGTGGTGAAGCCTGAGCATGTGACCAAACAATCTCCGGACG